GCTGTGGTGTTTACCATTTGTTTCATAACATAACATTGATACATTGTAGCTAAAGAGTTCCCTTTTATTTAACAAATCTTACGCGACCAGAAAAAACAAGCGCGCGCGGAAAAATAGTCTTTGCATTTGCTCACGTCAGCAGCGTACACCCATGGGAAAATGGGGGAAGCTAAATTGACCAATCAGAGCGCGCGCTTTGCTTTGGTTTTGTTATAGTAAACAAAAGTTTCCACGCTTAGCTTTCCTTTTTTTTCAAGAGAGGATTAGATTAGATTTGGCGCACACAGAAAGCTGCGTTAGCGCTAGTTGCTCGACATACCTGCGAAGCCCGTGCGACGAAATAACTTCACGGGATTGGCAAAGTTTCAGTCACAAATAAATAAATAAATAAATAAATAAATAAATAGGTCTTTATTGTTTTTAAGCAAAAATACTTGCAAAAGTTACAGCAAGTTATACAAAAAAAATAGAAAGATTTAGGCTATGTCTACACTATAACGGATAGCTCGTGCGCCGACACAAAAACCATATCGGATAGGGCTTCTGTTCACAAAGACAACGCTGATTTCGGCGCGGTTTTTTCAACGGAGCGACGCTGTGCCGCTTCGATCTTGAAAGTGAATCGTCATGTATCGGATAGGTTTTCGTACCACTCTTTGGCATCGTGTCCGGACCGCAGCAGAAGTAAAAAACTCGGAGGGAGGATTGGATTCCACAATATGGCGGCCTTGCCACTTGTGTTGATTTCTGCTATTTCGAACACTGTACCCAATTCACAGCTCTGTATTATGAATTTAACTGCTTTGAAAGACCGGAAGAGACGACGGAAACGACTTTAACTTTTGCTGATGCTCAAGGATTTTAAAGGTAAGAAACTAAGAGTGGTGTTGATCGAGGGGCCACCTGGGATGGGCAAAACCACCTACTGTCAGAAGCTTGCATATGATTGGTCTGTGGGGGAAATTACAACTGAACCTTCTTTTCCTGAAGTGAACATGTTCCTTAGGCTGACCTTCGTGACCTGAAGACTGCGAACGTTGAGGATGCTATTGATGATCAGCTATCACCAATTGATGTAGACAAGAAAGTCAAGGAAAAGTTCTCTCATTTCATTCGCCACAATCAAACTAGAATCTTGTTTATGCTTGACGGATTGGATGAATTACCGAAGAAGCTGTTCGAAGAATTTATGCCTTTGATTACAGAGAGAGTATTTCCTTTGACCTACGTTACGTTAACAGCTCGACACGAAAAAGGGGTGAAAGTTCGGCAATACTGTGACGCGCTGTTTGAGATTGTGGGCTACACCAAAGAAGACGCAGACGATTATATTACTAAGCACTTTAGCAGCCACGAGAAACCGATTCTTGCTAAGAAACTAATCACGGAAATAGACAGGGACTCACAGCTTAGAGAATTGACTGCTAGTGCGCTAAACACAGCTCTCCTATGTCTTGGTTTTGAAGATACAGGCGGAGTATTTCCTTACAACAGAACCATGTTGTATTTTGAACTTGTCAGCTGTGTTCTTAGAAGATAAATGAAATTTCTTTGGACAACCAAGATCCCGTAAAGAAGTACACAGACCAGCTAAATCAGCTAGGAGAGCAGGTTCTTGAAGCTCTGCTCAAAGATCAATTATCTTTCACTTTTGAAGAGCTGAAAAGTCGTTAAACCGAATTCCTGTTTCTTATCGTGAACGGCATAAAACAAGACTAAACATCAATGAAGCTACTAAGCAATAGTTGCAACCTATATTTTGCTTACCAATAAGCTTGCGGGGTTTAAATTCAATATTTTCACTCTCTGGCACGACGACCAGCAAAACACCGAGCAGTCGGAGCGTTCCAGAAAGGCTTTATTACGTGCAAGCTTCTACTTCATGCATCTCTAGCCTTGGCTCTAATAGCGCTCTCCGGAGATGTTGCACTCGACCCTGGATATAGGAGTTTGGAGGATGTTAAAAGTTCACGAGGACTAAAGATTGCTAATCTAAAACAGATCCGACTCGCTGCGCCTGGAGGGTTTGGATAACAAAACGATCGTTATTCTTACACTCAGTGAAACTTGGCTAGATGACTGCTATGGAGATTCTCGTGTTACTATTCCGGGATACAATTGCATTCGCCTGGATAGGTCTAGAATCAAAGAAGGATTTGGCGGAGTAGCAATCTATGTAAAGGAGGGCTTGTCGGTTCGTGTTAGGAACGATCTTCACTCAGCCGCAAATAATTGCCTTTGGATTGAGCTAACGCGCACTAAATGTCGCCCAGTATTGATTTGTTGTGCATACAGAGCTCCCGTTTTTGACTTTGCGAACTATATTTCAAACTTGGAGATATCTATGATAAAAGTTAACCTGGATAAATGTGATTTCGTGCTTCTTGGCGACCTTAATGCAAATATGCTGCCATATTCAAGGAAGAAAGAAAAACAAGAGCTTAAAAAAATTGCAATTTCACACGATCTTACGCAACTCATTACTAAGGCTACCCGAGTGACGGAAACCTCTCAAATTTTGCTTGACGTGATTTTAGTGAACAATTATCACCGCATCACTGACTCCGGTGTTGTTCCTGTTTCACTGAGTGATCACTACCTCGTCCATTGTGTTTTAAAAGCAGGTATAATTAAGGCACCACCAAAAACAATTGAATACCGCTCTTATAAAAACTTTCATGAGAACACCTTCCTAGCGGACTTGAATAGCGTCCCATGGCACGTTACTGAAAACGAGGAAGATATCGACGACGCCGTGTTTATTTGGAATCAATTGTTCTCTGAAATAGCTGACCTGGATTCGTCTGTAAAAAGGCGAAGAATACGAGGTGTTCCGCTCCCGTGGTTGAATGATAAAATCAGCGAGGTGATGAAAGATCGTGATTTTCACCATCGTAAAGCTGTGAAAACCAATTCTGTTTATCATTGGGCTTGCTATAAGAAGCTAAGAAATAGGGTCAATCGCGAAGTCAAGGCAGCAAAAATCTAGGTATTATTGTCACTTGATTCTAGAGGCAAAAGGGGATTCAGGGAAGATCTGGAAGGCGGTGAATGAGGTGTCTTCTCACAAGACTAAATCCTCGAGCCCACAATGTATCGTAGCTGATGGTGTTGAACACACCACTCCAGCCTCTATTGCATCCGTGCTCAACTATTATTTCGCTTCCATTGGCAGAAGTCTTGCACATAAAATATCAGCTACTGTTATGTTCCCAGTCAGATCGACCACGAAATTACAGTATTTCTCGCTTTACGAAGTTGATGAGGAAACAGTACTCAAGCATCTGCTTTCTCTGAAGACAAATAAAGCTATCGGCCTGGACAACATCAGTGCGAGACTCTTAAAGTGTGGCGCGCGTGTTATTTGTCCCTCGATCACCAAGTTACTGAATCTCTCTATTCGCACTGGCAATTTTGCTGAAATATGGAAATGCTCAAAAGTGGCTGCACTTTTCAAAACTGGACATAGGACAGATGCGTCAAATTATCGTCCAATTTCTATTCTGCCAACGATGAGTAAGATACTGGAAAAAGTCGTCCACTTCCAATTCTATGACTTTCTACATTCAAATAACCTCATTTCAAACAAACAATTTGGCTTCCGTTCCAAACTGTCTACAACATCAGCTCTCACCAGTTTTGCAGATGAGGTCCTATTGCATATGGAGAGTGGAGAACTGTGCGGTGCAGTGTTCTTGGATTTGACCAAGGCATTCGATACCGTTGACCATAAGATCTTGTTATCTAAATTATCGGCTATCGGTGTCTCGCCCAGCACGCTTCAGTGGTTCAAGTCCTACCTGAGTCATCGTAAACAGCGGACCTCCTGTGGTGATGCTATGTCTGACCCCCTCCCGATGACCTNTATAAATAATTGCAAAGTGACTTTGTATGCTGATGACACGGTCCTGTACTACTTTGCTAAGGAGCCACACCTGTTGGAAGAGGCACTGAATGATGATCTCTTGCAAGTTGCCCAGTGGCTACATGGAAATAAGCTAACTTTGAATCTTACTAAGACGAAATCTCACAATTATTAATTATCTCACAATCTTACATCTCACAATTTTCACTTGTGAGATGTAAGTTATCTAAGACTGCTTTGGTTTTACTTTACTACGCTGTGTGACTATTTCAGAAAACTCGCGCTACTTTTTACACCAATCAGATGCAAAACTAAAACCAACCGCGACTTAGTCACTCTCATTTTCCAGCGGTTCTGGCAGTTTTGCTTGTTTCTACTTCGAGTTCTTATTGGCCCTTACGATATTTTCCTTTCATGTGACATGATTGGTCCCTTAGATTATCGATACTTTGGTTCATGGGTTTACGACACTTAATCCAAAAGCGCTCTATGGTCCATGCGCTCTATTCCAACAATTGTCATCCAGACACCTTAAAATGTATTGTCCGGTTTTTAAGAGTTTCAGTAGATTATAAGTGAATTAAGAAGTTTGACCGTTTAAGAAATTAAAATTCGAAACTTGTTCGCTGATCCCATTCATTCAGCTCATGCGTGAGGTTTTTTTTAACTGTCAACGTAAAATGGAGGAACCGTCTTTGAAACCTTCGGGGAAGCTTTCCCCGGGGAGTTAAATTTAAATAGTTCCTTTTAATTTTGTTCCCGCTCGTTAGTTCTGGCGAAAGGGATGGCAGGTTGTAGGTTTCTTTCAATGGCAGCCTAGCGAAGCGGAAATCCGAAATACGCGATCTTCCAGTAGTAATTTTGATCAACAATCTGCTGAGATTTTTTCCACCAAGGAGCTATGAATCTCGCTTCAAAGAAGATGAGGCTAGTCATGTAGTGTTCGGTGGGAATCTAGGCAGTGGTTCAACGATATGTGAAAATCAGGCGATCATGGTACATGCGACAAGATTCCTGAACAGACTTGCTCCTAGTCTCTGCTTTCTTTCATGTTGGTCTAAAATGAGTGAGTGAACAGAATAAGATAAATGCGTGTTTTAAGAATAATGAAGTAGGGCGCGCGAAGCCTCGTTCTAAACGAATTCGATAGTAACCCATCAAGCCGAAAACGTATGATGGCGTATCGCCGTAGGTACAAGGTGCCACTTAAGGTGGCTGAACACAGTTTTCGCGCGCGTTTCTGCTGATGCAATTAGCGCGCGCACAAGGATTGCAAAAAACAAACATGCCGTCAATAGAGCGGTTATTTTATTTACTCAACACGTATCCGCACTATCTGTGCTATTTTTCTCTATAGTTAGCACAGTATATTGAGAGCTTTAATCTTTTATTGCAAAGATATGTTAGAAAAGNTAAACATTAAGTAAATGAATTGATAAAATTCCACATCAGTAATCGATGAAATAATGTAATAAACCAATCATATATCTCAGAAAATAAGTGAGTCATTATGAGAGATTATAAACTGTATGTAATCTTTTGGTTTTGATAATTTCTTGAAAGTACTAACGGTGGCTGCTTGTCTAACAAATAAAGTCAGTCTATTCCATTTCATTTGAGGCAGCATTCATAAACGCACAGTCACCCAATGTCACCCACTGTCACCCATGGTCACCCACTGTCAGTTCTTAGCTCATAGAATACCGTTACTATTACGGCGTAAATTATACCTTGGCGGTGAGAGAACTTCTATTAAATCTGAAAGATATAAAGGGGCTAATCCTTTGATAACTTTAATACGTAAAGAGTGAATTTTAAATTCAATGCGGAAGTGCAGCGGCAACCAGTGCAGCATTTAAAGTCTCTATGACACTTATTTTTTTATTATTTTACATCAAAATGTGACTCTAGAACATGTTTTAGCAACATTAGCGGTATTTTACCGTTTTCTGAATTTTCATCAAGCGCTATAATACGTAGATAAAATGTCTGGCCGAGCAAGAGGGGAATGGGCGTCGTTACGTCACAGTAGTAAGCATGTGTTCTTATCAGTATTGGAGTTGACAAGTCATCAACTAAATTACAAACTTAGACAAGGGAGTCTGCAGACTTGTAGGTCGGACAATTTGCAGGCTCGGATGTACAATTTTTATCTTTCCTTTCTTAATCAGACCTTGTTAACATGCACATTTTGTTTCCCAATTCAGACCTTGTGACAGCTCTTTAGAGAGATATTGCTTCTAAAGTCTCGAATATTTTCGTGATTACATGAATAAAGACAAGATAATTTTCCTCCATAAGAGAACATAATTGAGAAAAAATATGTTGTCTTGATTTTGAGATGCATGCAACAAATCCGACAGACGAAAAAGGTACTGCATTGGTCTGCTCAAATTATATACTCAGTGACTTACATTTATCAGGTGTAAATGACGAAGAAGCTGCTGACCTGCACTTTAAAAATGGCTATTTATGTTGAAGGTTGTAAAATTTGTGCTCACGCTTTCTCGCTCTGAGATGTGAGTAAAACTAGATCGAATTAAGAACGCTAAAACTTGCATTGATTCAACATGAGATATACTGTTTTAGCCGTTATGGTTCAGCATTATTAGCATTAATGCGGGATAGGTCTGTGGCCCATAAATATCGTGAAAACTCAGAAGGGAACAGGAAACCCCCTGCTTTAGCGGAAGACGTCTATGAAGCATAGCTCGACCTTATTGAAGGCAACGTGCAAAGCGTTCTGGCTCTAAGGCATAACTGTAAAACGACTGAAATCAGCGGTCAAACGTTGGGCATGCGCGAGGGGATCAATTCTGGCCAGCTGCGCACAAATTTTAAGCGAAGACATAAAGAATCAAACGCTGTTGCAAAAGAAGTGAAAAAAAATTGAAACGTTCATAGAAATCTGTAAAATGAATTAAGAGTAGAGAAAAGAAAAAATTGAGACTTTTCAGACGCAAAGCTTTTTCAAGTACTTTATCATTCTGTTTTGAGCTTAACTAATCATTTTGGACCAAATGTTATTACATTATTACTGAGGAAAGCTATCTCACTAAGGACTACAACAGACGGGTACACTGTGCTATTAAATTGCCCTATTAGTGCTCAAGTTGGGTTGGTCAATAACCAATCACAAATGAATTCAGGGAGTAAGTTTCTAAACAAACTGTTGTGCTGCGTCGGTAGGGCTAATAAGGTAATCTGGTTTTATCAACAAAGTTAATAATATAGCTGACGTTTCAAGCTTTAGCCCTTCGTCATTCGCTCTGACGAAGGGCTAACGCTGGAAACGTGTGATTTTAAAACCCCTTACGGTGGCCAGTTAAC